GTTCTCTGCAGAACCCTTCTCACCCTGATGATTTGTTGATTTGCTTGCTTACTGTTCACTTTCCCCCACTTAAATGGACATTCCATGAGAACAGGTATGTTGATCTGTTTATCGTCGAAGTCCACCCTCTTCATTATACTCGGCAGGTCACGTGTTTTAGCTGTGGTATGAAACAAGGGAAAAATAAGGCAGTGGGTTGGGACTGGGTTACGGTCCTCTACGCTCACTGGGAAGCTTCAGAAGCACACAGCTCAGCCTTTCTGTCATGCATCCTAATTTGGGCCTTGGGGATGCTTTAAAACTCCCCGTGTGATTCTAAAGGACAGGGGGACCCGTGCTTCTCAAACGTAAAGATGCATCCACATCACCTAGGGATTGTGTTAAACTTCAGACGTGACTCAGCAGATCTGGGGCCTGCGATGCTGCATGTCTAACGAGCTCCAGGTGAGGCTGATGGTGCCATCCATGGACCACACTCTCAGTAGTGAGGCTCTGACTGAGTTCTTGGAGTCCATGCCCTTAGCACGCTGTGGGGAGAGCCGTTCTAAAGCACAGGTGTTCAGTATTCCCCAAGCATCCTGCTTCTCCAGGTATGTTTCATCTTTATCTGTTACAACTAAGCAGCATTTTGTTGGTGGTCAAAATATGTGGAAGCCTAAGGGAATAATGATGGATCATGTGACAGGGAGAAGGGGCCTGGGCTCTTGGGTTCCTATCCCAAGTCTGCTCCTTACCAGCTGTGCAAGCGTAGGCGTGTCACTGAATGTCTCTGAGCCTTAACTTCCTCAGCTCCAAAATGGAGATAATAAGCCCTGCTTTTCTCATTGAGAAGGTTAAATGGGTTCATATTCACAAAGCACGTTGCACACAATTGGTGCCAAATAAATGGCAATGCTGTGATCTTAGTTTAGTGGACGTTGCAAACTGATCTAATTCAGTTCCCCGCAGGTCACGGGAACCTTGATCCAGGCCTGCTGCTAGGGCCATCAAACAGAGTCTGCCTTTGATCTGAATGTCAGATGACATGGTGACATAAGAAATTTCAAGGCATTTCAAAGCACAGAGCCTTCAGACCAGCTTCTGGCCTTGCCTAGACAATGAGAGGCAGAGAAACCCTTGGTTTCCTCCTTTCTCCAGACTGTTAGATTATCTCCCGCCCCTGTTTGTTCCCTGCCTACCTGTGTGATTTCCCCAGTGGTTTTTTATACAAAAACAAAATCTTAACTCTTAGTGCTGACTTAAATGCTGTTATCAGATCGGTCTGTTACTAGTAATTTATTCGATCAGATATTAATTAGGTGCCCAGGTGCCAAGGGACCCAGGGATGTACAAAAACTTCACAGTCTCCATTACCCTGGAAGTTGTTGAGGAGAGGCAGGCTCTGGACAAATAAAATACACAATTGCAATTGTGGTGCTATGAATGAAAGGAACAGGGTGAGCTGAAAGAGAACATCAAAGAGCCAGACATCACTGATTTTCATTTCAGAAGAAACTTCTGAGCCCTTACAGGGGGTCTAGGTCCAGGTGTTGGCAGTAGAGATGGGGATCAAATTCCCTTTATTATCGTGAAATGTGGGCTTTACTTTTTAGTTTTATAATTTTTCCCTTTTTGCTCAAAACAGAAGACACTGTATCGTTATAGAAAATTCTCACCGATAGCGTGATTTGAGGCCAGTGGCCTCCCCTCCGTAGGGCTTACGTGTTTATTCTGCAAATGGTAATAGTGGTGGGTTCTAAAGTTCTTTTTGCTTTGTCATTTGGGGACGCTTAAGACAAAGGAACAGTGGTCACAAAAGTTTTAAGCTTCACTGAACTAGGCACACACGGAAGCTCGTGCCTGTGAGCCTAGCACTTTGCTGAGGCAGGAGGGCTGCTTGAGGCCATTGTGCCACTATACTCTGGTCTGGGTGACAAAGCTAGACTCTGTCTCCCCTCGCACCCACCCCCCAAAAATTAAATTTTAAGCTTCAAATTAATAGAAGCAGAAAGTTTAACAATACAGAGAATTCGATTTTTCCATCCTTTTAGCACTCCCACCTTCCTTTCACAAGTCAGCCTCCCAAAATGCTGGGATCACAGGCGTGAACCACAACACCTGGCCTGCTTTTTTTTTCAATGTTACTTAGTGGACCAAGTAATGGATTTTGACAAATGCCTATCGTTGTATTTTAAATTGCATTTGCAAATGGAAGTATATAAAAAGGCATTTCAATTTACATGATCTTTTTCACTATTTTCACTTCCTCTTAAAACAGGGAACAACTTGGGGATCTTTGCTGATTTTCTCAAAGTTTCTGCAGAGTTAAATTTATAGATTTCTGATGAGATTAAAGGAGCAACATAACTCTGGAATATAGACGTTTAGAGTATTGTTGCCTACAACTGTATTTTTGTTATTGGGTTGTAAAAGCATGTGAATTAAGTGTGGAGTCACGGAGTCTGAATTCTGCAATCAGTGCTGCCACTAACGCACTATGTGGCTTCCAGTCCATCCCTTGACCTTTCTGGGTTGAAAGTCTTAACATTTTGTGTTTTTGGAATCATTTGTGTCCACTCTCTCTTCATGGTCTTTTGTTTACAGCTTTGCCCTTTGCGCTGCTGACCAGTAAGCCCTCACTCCACATGAGTGAGAGGGAATCAGCTGTGGGCATGAAGTGATGCTTCCAACCGCAGCTGCTTTACCCACACACCGCCTTGCCTGGGGGCCATGCAGGCTCCAGATGCCCCCTCTGGACTAGCTCTGCCCCGAGGGTCAAGGTCCATCTGCTCCTGGATTTTAAGTTTCACCTGCACAGAGCCCTCTGTCCTGGCTTGAAACGTGACTTAGTGCTAAGAGTTGTGGTTTTTATTCAGTTAACCAGAATTGTCTTAAACATCTACTTTTGGGCCGGTGTTCACTTTTATTTTTTTGAAACAGAGCCTCAAGCTGTTGCTCTGGGTAGAGTGCCGTGGCATCACAGCTAACAGCAAACTCCAATTCCTGGGCTTAAGCCATTCTCTTGCCTCAGCCTCCCAAGCAGCTGCGACGACAGGCACCTGCCACAATGCCCGGCTATTTTTTGGTTCTGGTTGTCATTGTTGTTTGGCAGGCTGGGGTTGGATTTGAATCCGCCAGCTCTAGTGTATGAGGTGGGCGCCTTAGCCACTTGACCTACAGGCGTCAAGTCCAGGTATTCACTTTTATTTGAAAAATAGCCTCCATCACTTTAGCAGTGCCTTAAGTGCCAGAATTCTATGTTGGCTAAAAAACAAAACCAACTCTACAGCCATCATTTCCACCTGGTACTAAGGCTAATGAAATCAGGCCACTGAGGTAAGCAGTCTTCAATCTTCACTGAGCACGCAGGGCTGATCTTCTGAATTCTTTT